CTACCCAATTCACATGTACCGCATGTCTTTGGACTGTGGGGGAAACCGGAGCACCTGGAGGAAACCCACGCGAACGCAGAGAGAACATGCAAACTCCACACAGAAACGCCAACTACCTACTGCGCCGCTGCATCGCTTAGAATGTACATCATTTATCAGATATTTATAAATAACTAAATACTAGGGTTATTCAACCAAAAATAGATTTTTTAGCTTTTCTGATGATACAAATTTGTGTTTTCTAAAAATTAAAACAAAAATATTATACAGTTCATCCGGAAAGTATTCATAGCGCTTCACTTTTTTCACATTTCTTTATGTTACAGCCTTTTTCCAAAACGGTTTAAATTCATTTATTTCCTTAAAATTCTACATATAATACCCCATAATGACGATGTGAAAAAATATATTTTTTAAATTGTTGCAAATTTATTAAAAATAAAAACCTGAAGAATCACATGTACAGAAGTATTCATAGCCTTTATCGTGAAGCTCTAAGATGAGCTCAGGTACATTCTGTTTCCACTGATCATTCTTGAGATGTTTCAGCAGCTTAATTGGAGTTCATCTGTGGTTAATTCAGTTGATTGGACATGATTTGAAAAGGCATACACCTGTCTATATAAGGTCTCAGGGTTGACAGTGCATGTCAAAGCACAAACCAAGCATGATGACAGAGGAATTGTCTGTAGACCTCTGAGACGGGATTGTCTCGAGCCACAAGGCAGGGGAAGGTTACAGAAGAATTTCTGCTACTATTAAAAGTTTCAATGAGCACAGTGGCATCCATCATTTGTGAGTTGAAGATGTTTGGAACCACCAGGATTCTTCCTAGAGCTGGCCAGCCATCTAAGCTGAGTGATCGGTAGAGAAGGACCTTAGTCAGGGAGGTAATCAATAACCCAATGGTCACTCTGTCTGAGCTCCAGCGTTCTTCTTTGGAGAGAAGAGAACCTTACAGAAGGAAAACCATCTGTGCAGCAATCAACTAATCAGGCCTGTTTGGTAGAGTGACCAAACAAAAGCCACTCCCTGTAATTTGCCAAAAGGCATCTAAAGGACTCTCAGATCATAAGAAACAAAATTCTCTGGTCTGATGAGACTAAAATTGAACTCTTGGAGTGAATGCCAGGTGTTACATTTGGAAAAAAAAAACAGGCACCGCTTATCACCAGGCTAATACATAATGCCTCGGGGATGTTTTTTAGCAGCAGGAACTGGAAGACGAGTCAAGATATAGGGAAAGAGGAATGCAACAATGTACAGAGACATCCTGAATGAAAACCTGCTTCAGAGAGCTCTTGACCTCAGACTGGGGCGACGGTTCATCTTCCAGCAGGACAATGACCCAAAGCACACCACCAAAAATATCATTGGAGTGGCTTCAAAACAACTTGGTGAGTGTCCTTGGGTGGCCCAGCCAGAGCCCAAAACTAAATCCTATTGAACTTCTATGGAGAAATCTGAACATCTGAACCCGATAAAGTTTGAGAGGTACTGCAAAGAGGAATGAGCAAAAATTTCCAAAGACAGATGTGCCAAGCTTGTGGCCTCACATTCAAAAAGACTTGAGGCTGTAATTGCTGCCAAAAGCGCATCAACAAAATATTGAGCAAAGTCTGAATATTTATGTATATGTGATTTTTCCAGTTTATTTATTTTTATTTTTTTTATACATTTGCAACTATTTAAAAAAAAAAAAACTTTTCACATTGTCATTATTGGGTATTGTGTGTAGAATTTTGAGGAAATAAATGTATTTAATCCATTTGAATTAAGTCTGTAACACAAGTGAAGCGCTATGAATACTTTTCGGATGCACTGTAAATACAGACGGATAGATAGATACAGATTGATTTATAGATAGATAGATAGATAGATAGATAGATAGATAGATAGATAGATAGATAGATAGATAGATAGATAGATAGATAGATAGATAGATCAGTTAAGTTCAGTAATGTTTAAATCTGGCAAATACGTTTCATGATTGATTGCCCTTTAGGTCCAAGGAAACAAGCAAATGTAACCAGTATTAATACATGTCACAAGTGTCTTTGTTATGAAAAAGTTTTCACTTGCCTGACATCATCATCTTGGATATGGTCCAGCTTCAGTTTAAGTACTGATCTCAGCAAACCCTAGTAAAATCCACAGGAAATGAGACTGCACTTTTTACACTCTGTCAATTAATTTAAATCTCATAAAAGGTTTGTATATTGTGATTGAGATAACATCTTGTGCTAATAACAATTTAGCTACTGTTTCAAAAATATAAGTTTATTTATCAACTAATATGACAATTTTCCAATGTCAGGAGACGCAGTGGCGCAGTAGGTAGAGCTGTTGTCTAACAGTAAGAAGGTCGCTGGTTCGAGTCTCAGCTGGGTCAGTTGGCGTTTCTGTGTATAGTTTGCATGTTCTCCCTGCGTTTGCATGGGTTTCCCCATAGTCCAAAGACATGCAGTACAGGTATATTGGGGAGGCTACATTTTCTGTAGGACTAAGCCGAAAATAAAATGAATGAATGAATTTTCAATGCCAACTTAATTTGATTCGATAAAATGTCTAATTTTAAGAAGGCCTTCTTTCATTTGAATGATATGCAGTTGTATTCCTCAACAAGGTTTTTGAACTTCTTTGTTTATATGGCATATTACATATAAACCAATAATCACAAAACTATGTAGTGGGGTGGAATGCATTGGCAATGATGCCAATTAATCGACTTATGTAGGCATAGACCTAGACCTTTAAATTTAAATTGATTAATTGATCATTTTTAATCAATAATTAATGAATTGGTATTTTCATCAGTGTCACAACATCTATTAGAAATCATGTTAATATGCTTACCTTTACTGATGAAAATTTATTGTCATAACCAGGATATAATTACACTTCTTAAACTAATCTCTACTTGAATATTGTTCCAGTCATTTCTACTATTTTTTTTACTATTTAAAGGATGCATTTTATTCAAGGTAAGATGACATCAAAGCATATACTAATTTAGTTCTTCTAATCTAGGTTCTTCACTCTATATCTGAGATACCTTCATCTAATCGGTTTTTGAAGGCAGAGCTGCAGGTGGTGGTTATTTTGTGCATTTTGAAGTTAGTACTTAATTAAATATTCCCCAAAGCTCTCTCTATTTTTCTGTACATGATGAATCGTTTTGCTTTTCTGCTGGCAAAATCATGCGTAAATGCTGCAATTAAACATTAATGTGGTTAATAGGGTAACCTACGGTGGCCGAGAGAGCTTAACGTGGTGTACTTTAAGAAACATGTGCAATTACCAAAATTGCCAACAAATTAAGAAAAGATATTCATCCATTCGACAGCGCTGCATTTTCTCACAATGCAAACAATTTATGAAAACACACTGCATGTTATCACAAAGCAAACAATTTACAACATTGCACTGCATTTTCTCACAATGCAAACAATGTATGAAAACACTTTATTTTCACACAACCAAACAATTTACAAAAACACACTGCATTTTCACAACGCAAACAGTTTACAAAAACAGGCTGCATTTTCACACAACGCAAACAATTTACAAAAACAGGCTGCATTTTCACACAACGCAAACAATTTACAAAAACGGGCTGCATTTTCTCACAACGCAAACAAATTAAATGGACTGCATTTTCTCACAAAGCAAACAATTTACAAAAACAGGCTGCATTTTCACACAACGCAAACAATTTACAAAAACGGGCTGCATTTTCTCACAACGCAAACAAATTAAATGGACTGCATTTTCTCACAACGCAAACAATTTACAAAAACAGGCTGCATTTTCACATAACAAACAATTTACAAAAAACTGGCTGCTTTTTCACAATGCTAACAATTTACGAAAACGGGCTGCATTTTTTCACACTGCAAACAAATTAAACACACTGCATTTTCTCACAATGCAAACAATTTACAAAAATGCACTGCATTTTCTCACAACACAAACAAATCAAATGCACTGAATTTTCTCACAACGCAAACAAATTTAACACACAGCATTTTCTCACAACGCCAACAATTTCAACACGCTGCATTTTCTAACAATGCACACAATTAATAAAAATTCACAGCATTTTCTCACAACACAAACTGTTCATAAAACCACGCTGCACTTTCTCACAACACTTGCAAAAACATCAGAACACAATGTTAAAGGTTTCAAGGGGACCCGAAAACATGACTGACGCCACTGTGTCGTTACTATTGCTCAGGTGAGTTTCTTTGTTTATTGTAATAAACTTATTTATCCTAATTCCTATGTCTTTCGTATTATTTAGCCTAAATGACCATAACCTAAATAGCCAGGTCCATCATGTTTTAGGGTCCGCTTGAAACATTTCTAATGTGTTCTGTGCTATTTTAAACTGTGAGAAAATGCAGCATGTTTTTTTTTTTTGTTTTGTAAATTATTTGCGTTGTGAGAAAATACAGCTTGTATGTATGTATGTATGTATGTATGTATATATGTATGTATATATATATATATATATATATTTTTTTTTTTTTTTTTTTTTTTTTTTTTTTGCAGTTTATATAATATCCTGACATGCCAATAAATCAGTGCTCAGACTACAAATTGAGGCTAATGTTACCGGTCTCATCTTTAAAAAGTTAAGACATTGTTTATGGGGGTTTCAAAACATGGACTCCTAAGCTGATCTAAACACAAGATTGTCTACATTCTCAGGTTGATTTTTCTCTTAACTTTTCCATAAACGTCCTATACCACTCCCTTGCGGCTCCTTGTGTTGAAAAATAACCCTAGTTCAGGTTATCTGCCTTAACAGGACAGAAAGAAATGCTCAGCTAGACAATATCCTTCATTTGTGGTGCTCTCCGTGGTCCTGAAATCGAGTGTGCGCCACTTATATCCTCAAGCACATGTAGTATCCAAAGAGCGAGTGACTGAGATCAGTACTGACCCAGAGAGAGAGAGAGGGAGGGAGGGAGAGAGAGAGTCAGAGCCGCAGAAAGAAGGAGCGCGCGCAAGTGTTGGATCAGTCCTTCAGAGGGATCTGAGGAAACGGCGGGAGGCGCGCGCTCATTTGTGGCTGCACCTCATTGTGGCGGGAGTCTTAACGCTTCCTGCACGAGACTAAACGGCTTTTAATCTAACTGTTTTAACGGTCGGAGGTTCCTCAGAAGAGTGAAGCGGAGTACTTTTCCCAAACATGAGATTCCTGAGCAGCATCGGAATGTTCGTCCTCACGACACTGAGCGCATTAACTTCTGTTTTATCGGCGAGTAACTGTAAGTTCATTTGTTTATTCTGTAAATCACCAATGTTAAGCAAAATGTCAAGGAATTTAACTATAACGTTAGTCATCTAATGAGATTTAATAATGAGACCTGCCCAGTCATGCTGCTCACGCAATTAAGGATCTAGTTTGGGAGCAGTCATATGAAAAATGTTGTTTTCTAGTTGTAATAGTTGTAAATTGACATGTTCACTTTAAATGTTTTCCTTATAATTTAAGACTATTAACAGTTGTTATAGAAAATAGTGGATTTTTAATGCGTTTTTATGCATGCAGTGAAATGTGTAATCGACTCTTGGTTAAAATTGTGTATAATTTGTATAGTATCACTTTTAAAGTTGTTAATGTGTGAGGCAATATTAGTTTAATGTTTTACGATATGATATATATTTACATTGTTGTAGTTGTCAGCGTACAGGGTTGCTGAACCCCCTCGAGAGACTCCAAGTTTGTTCTTCAATAGCCTAAAGAAATTACCATGTCAAAAGAAAAAGACGTACAACTCTTCTGAGAACCTAAAACAAATTCAAAGCGCGTTATATATATCATCTTTCATCTTTCAGTTCTTTCGCGCGCTCCCATTTATATACACAAAGGCTTGCGCGAGCAGAAAAACACTGCTTGGAAAGTCTCGCTCTCATTTACCATTTCATTTCATCTGTTTGGATGCGAGCGCGCGCGATGGGAGGAGTAGCCTATATGAGAAAAAACATGCTTGCTGCCGTGATCAAACTGCTTCATATACTTGTACGAAAGGACGCAGTGTTTGTGTCTGGGTCAGGTGTTTTCCACAGGAGCCTGGATGCGCATACTGTATTAGCAAAAACCTTTATAGACGAAAAACATTGTCTGAGTAAAAACGCAGAGAGATGTGCATGTGTGGGACATTTCTGGCAGCAGTATAAGAGAAGTATGTGCAGATGTTTTGCTATAGAAACCTTCTAAAATATTGTGTACGTGGGCTTAATTCTTAAACTAAAAAGATATATATTTTATTATTATTATTATTATTCCAAAATTGTCACTAAAATCAACAGGTTTGAGTGAAAGAGTTATGCTTAGGGTTAATGTCGAATATCCTTTACCTCAAACTATCAAAATGAAAACTACTGAGTCTTAAGTAATATGTTAGTGCTGTTTTTTTTTTTTTTTTTTTTTTTTTTTTTGAGAGTGTTCTAATGGTTTTGTGTCTGGATATCTAAGTCGTTTGGTTTGTGAAAGAGGTATTAGAAGTGAACTGAAGCAAAGCTTTTTGATATTTTGATATGTTGATTCATTTTCTTTATAAGTGTAAAGACACCTAAACATATATCTTTGTGTGAGAAATTGTTCAGATGCAAAATCTTCTAAATGCCGTCTGAAATTTTCTTCTAAAATGAGCATTTTTATCAGGCTTCTGTGTGTAGGATCAGTAATATTATTTTTGTGACACATAATAAATCCTTTGTATGGCCTTTAAAGGGAAATATATCCACATAAACAAAAGAAGCTGAGAAAAATGTTCATTTTCGATGGAAATTTCAGACGACACTTAGAGGTTTTTGCATCTGACCTCTTTTTATTTTTAGTTTTTACCGTTTTTACATCGTAATTATACTATAGTGATTGTAGTTACTTTACAATAAAATAGAAATAGTCAGAAATAAAGTGTCTTTACAGACAATAATATTTGTACATGATTTTGTTTGTAAATTTTTACAAATAATAATCATTCATTTTATTTTCGGCTCAGTCCCTTTTAATAATCAGGTGTTGCCCCTAATTATAATAATAACAAAATTAATAATAATAATAATAATTTATTATTATTATTATTATTATTATTATTATTATTATTATTATTATTATTATTATTATTATTAATCATTTCCATTATGCCTTTTTTAAAACACAAGGTCATTTTATAAAGGACTATTTTTTATAGGAAATAATTACAAATAGACATTTGAAGACTAATTTTTAGAGAAAATGTTCTTTAAAAAAGGTTTTTAAATTAAATAAGCGAAGAACTTTGACAAAATAGAATGTTGCCTTATAAAAAAGTAAGAGTTCCCAAAATTTGTTTGCAATGATATCATATTCCACAGCCATATCTCCTTGCGCCACAGCCATATCACCCCGCAGCCCAAGACCGGTTGCTAACTGAAGCTAAGCAGGGCTGAGCCTGGTCAGTACCTGGATGGCAAACTATATGGGAATACTCAAGCTCGTTTTCCTGATTGTTTGAGAAGTGCAAGTGGTCTGAATCGGGCTCAGGCACGGTTCAGTTGGCTGGCCCTGGCCCAGTTGGAAGAGGTGTGCCAGAGCATGGTTCACTATGGCTTGCTTGTAGTGTGAGTGCAAAGCACCCCTGAGCTCGAAACCGAAGATGAGGCGTGACTTTTATAGGACTGTTTCTTATGGATTTATTAATCATTCTTACTGTTCAATGAACGCAAACAAACCTTAGAATTACTGCAGCATGAGGAAATTATGGTTGTTTATGAGCATCAAAAGTGGCGGATCTGTTCGGCAAATGGTTTCACTGCGTGTCACTGCATACCAAACAACTAAAATGATATAACTAAAGAAATCTCCACTGTGCTGAGCGAGAGCACTTACTGAACAGTGCATCATTGATGACATAAGCGTGCTCAGGCCTGAATGTAGTAATGTGAGTGTGGGCCGTCGAGGTAGATGGGAGGGTGGACAAGCATGCTTCGAGGGCAACTGTACAAAGTGTGAGTATGCCCTAGGTTGCTGTTGGAAGTGGTGTTAGTGAGGCCAGCAGGGGGCTCTCAACCTGTGGCTTGCGTGAGACCTAAAATCCCAGTAAAAGTGAAGGGGACACCATACTGTCAGTGGGCGCTGTCTTTCGGATGAGATGTTAAACTGAGGTCCTGACTCTCTGTGGTCATTAAAAATCCCAAGGCACTTCTCGTAAAGAGTGTAACCCCAGTGTCCTGGCCAAATTCCCGTCCATCGACCTTAACCCATCATGGCCTCCCATTCATCCCCATCTATCGAATTGGCTGTATCACTCTCTCCACTCCACCAATAGATGATGTGTGGTGAGCGCACTGGCGCCGTTTTCCTGTGGCTGCCATCGCATCATCCAAGTGGATGCTGCATACTGGTGGAGGTATGGAGAGACCCCCTCGTGATTGTGAAGCACTTTGGGTGTATGGCCACACACAATAAATCCACTACATAAATACACATTACATTACATAAATGAGTTATTTATTTACAATATATTCCTCTGAATTGTTCTACTGGGCTTTGGTGGTGCACCACTGAATAGCCCTTCAATGAACTGTTTGAGTGTGTTATGGTGCAGTAGAGGTATTGGGCTGATTGCAGAGTGTTTTGGTGTTCAGCCAAGTGTGTGAGTGTGATTGGTGTGATATTTGGTGTGCAGTAATAGTGGCGCTTGTGTGTGTGTTGAGGTTTCGTGAAAGACTGCTGTCTATGAGCAATCAGCACCGCCCATGTCAGGCAGAGGTGCTGCAGCTTCTGTAAGACAGAGAAGTGGCGTTTAACTCGCTCCCTGCTGAGAACAAAAGCCCTCTGCGGTTTTCAATCTGTCTCTCATAGACTTCAGCGCCCACGAACAGGTGTGTGAGTGATTGAACTCATGGACCCTCGCCAGGAGAAAATAACTTTCCTTTAAATAAGTTACGCTTTGGAAACAGTGCTCTAAAACAGACAGCGACTAGGAGATCATGATGAAGAACTTTAGACAAACCTCTGGCATAAACACTGCTGATTATACGGGGAGAATAATGCTTTAACAGAATGTTAGACTTTGAATGGCAGGCAGAAATAAATTTATTTATTATTATTTTTTGTCTTATTTTCCTTTTTTCAACAGTCTAAATGAAAAAGCTATTTTTATATGCACCACTTTTACTTTTGTAATGTGATTTTGTTCTTCTGGCATCATGACACAGGAAATCAAAATGCAGTCAGTTGTCAGTGACATTGAACCTGAAGGTGTTTGCATATATTTCAGTAGGGTCTTGGTGATGTGGAAAGCACAGGCAGAATCACGGAAGCCAGTCATTACAATCTATTTCTACCAGAAAGACTCTAGAAAGAGGGAAGGCATTACTATTTATTCTATAAATAAAGAACAGATGTTTCCCATGATGGGTTGCGGCTGAAATGGCATACGCTACATAAAACATATGCTGGGTAAGTTGGCAGCTCATTCTTCTGTGGCGACCCCAGATTAATAAAGAAACTAAGCCGAAAATAAAATAAATGAATGAATGAATTAAGAACAGATGGTTGTGAGCTACTGTAATTCATGACTAGTTTATGGAAAGATTTTTTGGCCCATGTCCTTAGTCAAAATACAGCATTGGAGATTTCGCTGTTGAAGGGTGGTTGGATAACACCAAACATGGTGGGGAGGATGGGGGAGAAGGTCTGCATCATCAACTCCAAACACAAAAGAGAAAGATCAGTATTATCAACATAGGCTCTTTCTGAAAATGTAGCCTTATATATTTTTGTAGAAAGTGAATTATGTAGTCAGAGGAACGTATGGCTGCATTTTGTCTTTAAAACAAATGCTACAGGGTGGTATGATGCTGTTCCTTTTTTTGTCCCCAGCTGACCACTTAACTCTATATGTCGATTGGTGCTTTTAAAAACACTATCAGTTTGGTTTAGAGAAGGAGGTGTCAGGGTTCTGCCACTCTGGTCTTGTAAATTCTTGTTTTGGTGGCAGAGCTCGGACACTACCCATGTCTGGTCCTGTCTCTGTCTCTGTGTGTGCGCACGCCGTCGTGGGTGTACGCAGAGTGTGCGCGCTCCTGCTTGACGCGGCCGCACGCATGCTCTGCGTCCCTCAGACGCGTGCGCTCTTGTACTCGTGTTTGTGTTTTCGTCTGTCAGCAGCGTGGTGTTTCATTCCCAGCGTCTCAGTCTTGTTGGTTTCGGTCGACGCTGGGATGAAGCATGCATGCTGCGTGTGTGAGCGCACGGTGAGTGTTTTCATTCATC